TTCTTATTCAAATTGATATCTTCTTTTTTTTTTAATTTTTTATTGTGGGTTGTTCAAAACATTACAAATTTCTTGACATATCATATTCCACACTTTGATTCAAGTGGGTTATGAACTCCCACCTTCACCCCATACACAGATTGCAGAATCACATCAGTTACACATCCATTGATTTACATATTGCCATACTAGTGTCTGTTGTGCTCTGCTGCCTTTCCCATCCTCCCCCCTCCCCCCTCCCCACCTCTCCCCTCCCCTCCCCTCCTCTCTCTCTACCCCCTCCACTGTATAACCCTGAGGGTCTCCTTCCATTACCACGCAATTTCCCTTCTCTCTCCCTTTCCCTCCCACCTCTCATCCCTGTTAAATGTTAATCTTCTTCTCCTGCTCTTCGTCCCTACTCTGATCTTAGTTACTCTCCTTATATCAAAGAAGACATTTGGCATTTGTTTTTTAGGGATTGGCTAGCTTCACTTAGCATAATCTGCTCTAATGCCATCCATTTCCCTGTAAATTCTATGATTTTGTCATTTTTTAATGCAGAGTAATACTCCATTGTGTAGAAATGCCACATTTTTTTTATCCATTCGTCTATTGAAGGGCATCTAGGTTGGTTCCACAGTCTTGCTATTGTGAACTGTGCTGCTATGAACATCGATGTAGCAGTGTCCCTGTAGCATGCTCTTTTTAGGTCTTTAGGGAATAGACCAAGAAGGGGAATAGCTGGGTCAAATGGTGGCTCCATTCCCAGCTTTCCAAGAAATCTCCATACTGCTTTCCAAATTGGCTGCACCAATCTGCAGTCCCACCAGCAATGTACAAGTGTACCCTTTTCCCCACATCCTCGCCAGCACTTGTTGTTGTTTGACTTCCTAATGGCTGCCAATCTTACTGGAGTGAGATGGTATCTTAGGGTGGTTTTGATTTGCATTTCTCTGACAGCTAGAGATGGTGAGCATTTTTTCATGTACTTGTTGATTGACTGTATGTCCTCCTTTGAGAAGTGTCTGTTCAGGTCCTTGGCCCATTTGTTGATTGGGTTGTTTGTTCTCTTATTGTCTAATTTTTTGAGTTCTTTGTATACTCTGGATATTAGGGCTCTATCTGAAGTGTGAGGAGTAAAGATTTGTTCCCAGGGTGTAGGCTCCCTATTTACCTCTCTTATTGTTTCTTTTGCTGAGAAAAAACTTTTTAGTTTGAGTAAGTCCCATTTGTTGACAAATTGATATCTTCGTGGTTCTTGATATGATAGTTGATTCTTTATTCAAACCTGGACATTTAGGTTATTACGTTGTAGAGCTCTGGACCTTATTTAAATCTTCTGTTTAGTACGCTTCCTATAATACCACTTTCCTGGAGCAGAGGTGTTGCTTCATTAGTGCTGGAGAGGGTAAAAGTGCAGGTTCCTACTTTAGCTTTTTTGACTCCTGAGAGATGGAACTCCTCTTTTCTGTTAAGTTGGGTGACAGTTCAGGCTCCTTAGCAGAATGAAAGTCAAGGGAGAAAATATTTGCAGATCACATATCCAATAATTACTTTATACTAGTATCCATAAAGAATTCTTAAAATCAGTAGTAGAAAAACAGGCAATCTAGTTATGATATGTACAAAAGACAGATATTTCAACAAAGAGGAGAAACAAATGGCCAATAAGTACATTAAAAGATATTCATTGCCATTTAGGAAAATCAAAGTAAAACCACTGGGAGCTATTACTACACACCTACTACAATAGTTTCAGAAAAGGAAAAATAGTGATAATGTCAAATGTTGATGAGGATGAAGAGGAACTGAGTCATTTATGCTTTGCCAGTTATTATAAAATGGTACACTCTGGAAAGAGTATGGCAGTTCTAAAAAGTTCTACATAGATTTAGTAGTTGAACTCCAGTACATTTATCCCAGAGAAATGAAAATTTATGTCCATCCATATGAGAATGTTCAAACATCTTTAACCACAATACTCCCAAAATTGAAACCACCAAAATTCCTTTACGGGTGAATGGTTGAACAAATTCTGATACATCCATGGATTAATGCTCAGCAATAAAAAAGGATGGTCCTTTGATATGTATAGCAACCTCGATGAACCTCCAGAACATTATTGTAAGTGTAACAAAAGCCAATCTCAAAAGGTTATGTATTGTCTGATTCCCAAACCATAGAGATCAAGAACAAATTAGTGATTGCTAGGGTACAGGGACTGGAGTGGAACAGGTGGGGTGGGAGTGAATACAAAGATGAATCAAAATCTGTTTTCCTGTGGTGGTGAAATAGTTCTATATCTTGATTGTAGTGGTAGTTACATGAATCTAAACATGAGATAACATTGCATAGAGCCAAATAGACATATATACATACACATGAGAACATGTTAAAAATGTTGAAAAGTAGATAAGTTCTATAGTTTTCTTAACAGTAATACACCAATGTTAACTTCCTTATTTTGATATTGAATGACAGCTATATAAGACATCATTAGGAGATGCAAGGTTATGAATACATGGATCTCTTTGTTCCATTTCTTCAAGTTCCTGTGAATCTATAATTACTTCAAAATAAGAGGTTTTAAAAGAGATTCTCTTTTGAGATGGTTTAAGTCTGGTTCTGCTGAAGGTGGAATATTAGGGAAAATCAGTATTTGTCACATCGTACCCTCAGCATATCAGAAGGCCAAAGAAATCTACACATGGCTGGTAATGAAAATATTTACAAATAATATAATGCCTTCTATTTTATTAGTGCATTTCTTTCCTTTTTAAAATTATTTTAATGGGAAAACCAACAGTATTCAATGATAATTAGAGGTAGTGCCATGTTCTTCGCACTCTGCTAATAACTTCAATTTTTCTGCCAATAACTCACAGGATAGATGATGTTCACATATTCTGCATTCTTAAAAGGATGTTCCCAAACTTGACCAAACCCCAAAACATTTTCAAGAAAGTAAAATAGCATCACCTTATTGGTGATACATAACTTTCAGTCCTCACTCATTGTAGCTGTGGTGAAGGTACAATAAGCTATGAGTTAGAAAAATTGCATAGTTTACATCTGTAGCCAATTTAAATGGGACACTTAAAAGTGTCCATTTTACGGTGGAAAAGAAACTAAATATATAGTTCCTGCCTTGTAAGCTGCTAATATAGGTATGACATACAAGAAATAGATTCTGACTTCAAGTATCAGACCTGAATTTTAATCTTAGCTCTGCTGCTCAACCAGACAAATCATTAAACCTTGTGGAACCCGAGTTTCCTCAACTATAATGATAATACCCATTTCATAGAATTGTTATTTGTTTCAGTCCTCACTTTTATGAATGGCACTTAGTATCATAGCTGACTCAAAGCTGTTGTTCACTAAATGTTTTGTCACAGGTTTGTATATGGATTAAGAAGACAGTATATATGTACATATGCAAAGTAAATGAGAAATATAAAAGTGATAAATATCAAGGCATAAACTGTTAAAAAAAGAGAAGGATTGGGAAATGCAAAAGGTCAAATTGACTGCAGATATCAGAGAAGTCATTATGAAAGAACTAGAAATCAAATTGGGCTTTGAAGAGTGAAGATGTAGAGAGGAGGAGACCATTTCAAGAGAAACAAGAGCCTGAGCTTAGATGGCTATAAGAAAATCAGAATTGAGAAATTTATTTTTGGGGACTTCCCATGTATTCTATATTAGATTATATTTTGGAAGTTAAAAACCTTGAAGTTTTAAGCAATTTCTCTCATGTTACATTCTGAAAAGCTTTCCAACAGCTGTGTGTATTTCAACATTATTGTTGAATGTTAGAACACCTGCTTGGTTGCAAAGAACTCTTGTATACTTTCAAATGTTGCTTGGTAAGATTTACATAACTTCTATCAGTTGTAGCTAAACTTAGACTTGGTGCCTATAAATCACTGTATTTAACAAAGATGGGGATAGCACAATACTGGAACAAGAGCTGGAATATCCATGTTTTTATTAAGCCTTATAGAATTGTTTTCACTTGTTACTAAAGAAAGTTTTGGCAGGCTAACAAATTTTGTGTTCCTAAATGGTGGTTGATGTTTTAGACACTATAATTCTGCAGAAAGTGTAGAACATGAATGATTAAATATTTGCTCTGAATAAATGAAAGCATTGAAACTTTTAAGTTTTTAGGTTTTATTTTGGTGTATTTTCATGGAGATGTACTTTGGTTAATGAAAACTTAGTTTGGCATTCAGTGGGTTTTGCTTTTATGGTATTAAAGCAAAGGATCTTTGTGGGGCAAATAAATCTACACATATTTTTAAAAATAATGAATCAGCCACAGATACTTGTACTTTATCAGCTTTTGAGGTGCTTTTTGCTATATAATTTCAGTTTTTACCATTTTCATGGTGAAAAAAATTCATCTTTAAAATGTGAATTGAATATCAACTATATACAAAGCATTATACTCAGCATGGGTAAGACCAAAAAGTAATGAGATACAGACCCTCAAATTTACAGTAGGAGCGGCTGGGGTTGTAGCTCAGTGGTAGAGCACTTGCCTCACACATGTGAGGCACTGGGTTTGATCCTCAGTACCACATAAAAATAGATAAATAAATGATAGATTGATAAAAATAAAGATATTTAAAAATTTTATAGGAGGAAAGCAAAATGTGTACCCAAACAAATAAATATATAGCAGTTTGGCACTAAGTTCTATGAGCTCTGTAGAATTTCAGATGGCAGAAAGCACATTTTTGAGTGCCCGATCAAGGATCATTCCATGGAAGCAGGAGCATTAGACAAATTCACATAGCTTGTAAATGAACATTAACATGGTACTGTGATATAAAAATCTTGAAATGATAGCTCTCCCAATGCCAAAGATTTTATCTTTACAAATTGGGGAAATCATTCCAATACCAGCAAATGGTTAATTTCTGAACATTTCCATAAGTATTAATTAAGTTTGTACTTTTACAAATAATTATTTTATGTATGGTGGATAATGGATGTTTTTATGTTTTTAGGCCATGAATATTGTGGTTCCCTTCATGTTTAAATATGCTGTAGACAGCCTCAACCAGATGTCGGGAAACATGCTGAACCTGAGTGATGCACCAAATACAGTTGCAACCATGGCAACAGCAGTTCTGATTGGTTGTATGTGTGATTCTTTAATCTGTCTACAGGTGTTGACTTTCTTCAAGAAGGGTTCATCATATTTGAGCAGATGACCTTTTCACCACAAACACAACTTAGTATTTTGGATGTTTATTATTTTATGTGAGATTTTCTATATATGATTTTTAGAATTTCTTTGTATGGTATACTTTGCAAAAGTCTATGATAATAGTGGCATTCTCTACATTCTAGAAAATAATAATATTAAATAGGACATTAAATTTATAACAACCATTTTTAATAGGCTTTTTATAAATACCTTTTCAATAAGGCCAGTTATTTTCTTGCTATTGTTAGCTATTAAAGAAAAAATAGGTAAATAATGATAGATATGTAAATAAATTTAGTAGTTATGACACAAATGTAAAATTTTTAAAAACAGTATGAATCCCATGTGGTTCCATGCATTAGAAAGGAGATTTTATGAAATATGAGTAGGAGCATGCTTTTAGTTAAAACACTTGAATTTTCAGGATCTTATTTTTATTATTTGCTATTTCAGAGAATTGAACTAGATCAAAAACCTTAACAGATATTGTACATGTATCCATAATAAGGCCATATGGTCTATTATTTATTGAGAGTATTTTAATGGGAAAAATCAGCCTCTGAAATCTGGGAAAAAATAAAACCAGGAGAGATTCATCGTGCCAGAAAAGTTAGTTCTCGTTAGGATAAAGGATTTCTAGGTTTCTTTTAGTATAAATATTCTGTGATATATTTGTTGATTGAGTATTCATTGTACAAACATTTTTTCAATCCCTTGATTCTAATGTTTTTACACCTCATTTTTTCTTTATAATGTATTACTAGATGGTGTATCAAGAGCTGGAGCTGCCTTTTTTAATGAAGTTCGAAATGCAGTATTTGGAAAAGTAGCCCAAAATTCAATTCGAAGAATAGCCAAAAATGTCTTTCTCCATCTTCACAACCTGGATCTGGGTTTCCACCTGAGCAGACAAACAGGAGCTTTATCTAAGGCTATTGACAGAGGGACAAGGGGTATCAGTTTTGTCCTGAGTGCTTTGGTATTTAATCTTCTCCCCATCATGTTTGAAATGACACTTGTCAGTAGTGTTTTGGTAAGTAAAACAGTCTTTATAGCAAGTTTTTATCTTATTAGTATTCTCATTGGCAGCTATTGAATATTTGAAGCTGCTGTGCTATTGCTTGCCCATGGTTTTGAAAATTAAATTCAGAAAGAAAGATTATGCAGTTTGTTTAATTATTTTGCCACAAGCTTTCAAGGGCTGTCCAAGCTCTTTACATGTTGTTATTGTTTAGAACTGTTTAATCCTACACATAGACCATTAATTAGCTAGTGTTTGTGAAGTGTTTTTTAACAGAGATTTTTATATATGGCATCAGATTGATATGCTCAGAGTATCTAGGTTGCTATTCACCATTCATAAAATTTATGACAATTTCATCTTTTATACTTAAAATATGTATACATGTACAGTTTTTGTTCCTCTTCAAGCTTATTGTACTATTTTAGTATTAGCATTTGATGACAGTATAAATGTGGCAAGTGAAATTTGGCTTTCTTTCCTTGTTACCCAAAGTAGATTGTCTAAGGTTTTTCACCAGTTATTGTCATATATACTTCCTACCTTAATATTTTTAATTAATATCTTGTGACTGAGATTTGCTGTTGGATCATATACACTGTTTGACAAGAACAATAATTGTTTCTCATTTCTTCTCTTGAACTTTTTCCAGTATTACAAATGTGGTGCCCAGTTTGCATTGGTAACCCTAGGAACACTTGGTGCATACACAGCATTCACAGTTGCAGTCACACGGTGGAGGTATGGTATTCCTCAGGGCCCAGTCAAAGTCCAGAATTTAGCGATGCTTTTATAACATACATTTCATGCCTGTGCAAATCTTTGTCTTACAGAACTAGATTTAGAATAGAAATGAACAAAGCGGATAATGATGCAGGTAATGCTGCTATAGACTCACTGCTGAATTATGAAACTGTGAAGGTAATGTGTTTAATTGTACTTTCCTCTGCCTTTCATACTGCACCAAGATTTGTTCTGCCATTTAATTTAATAGGTGCTATAAGTGAGAGCTTTGTGTTAGGATAAGGATAGGAGCTCTAGGTTATGGAATAATACTAAGTTTTTCTTCTGTTTTAGACATTGCCCTTTATTTTTACCTGTTTTTATTTAGCAGCATCAGAATTTTACTTTCTGAATTAATTATAATGATCATAAATATATTGTTAACATCTTGATTCAGAATGAACATTAAGATAATTAGCTGGCATGTAAGTGCTTAACCCTTTTTGTATCTCTTAGGGTTCCTAGCATAGTGATTTTCATTAATTCTTTCATTTATTTGTTCATTTTTCCATTTAACAAATAGTTACTGAATTCCCCTTATATGTAAAGCATTATGATAAGTGCTGTATAGGAGAGGGTAGTAAAAAATGATTATCGCGTAATCCCTTCCCTCCCAGAATTTTATGATATACCAAAAGTAGAAGAGTTAAAGTAAGCATGCAGATGACGAACAGAAAGACATAATTTGTAGCAAAGGGAACTGCCAATTCTGAGTCTCAGAGGATCTGGGGCAGGTTTCCTGAAGGAAGTGTCATTGATCTAAATAAATTTAGATCTGGGTTCACATTAGGTATGCATTCAGTAAATGTTTACTGGATGAATTTTATGAACTTTTATAATATAACCTATCATAGAAAACTGCAGGAGTACCATAGTCCAGTGTATCGAAAGTAAGTTTGTAAAATAAAGTCTGTAGTACAAGATTGTATCCAGATATGAAGTCAGGTGGAACCTATACTAATCACTTAAAAAAAGAATACATACCTGTTATACTTGTCCATAGTTACTGTTTCTATGTATTTTGCAGTATTTTAATAATGAAAAATATGAAGCACAGAGATATGATGGATTTTTGAAGACATATGAGACTGCTTCATTGAAAAGTACCTCTACTCTGGCTATGCTGAACTTTGGCCAAAGTGCTATTTTCAGTGTTGGCTTAACAGCTATAATGGTGCTTGCCAGTCAGGGAATTGTGGCAGGTAATGCATCTGTGGTTATCACATTTTATAGACTATATAAAACTTAACTTTTGTAACTAAGATTAATGAAAAGAATGTGTATATTAGTCTTAGTGTTCAATAAAGTACTTTAGCACTTTTGTAATGGTTTCCTTTTTGTATCAGAATGTGTGTTCTCGATTGATCATCTCTTCTTTTTGTTTAGCACTGGCTCTCTCATTGATTGGGATTACTGTTTCTACATTTTATGGGTCTACAACCTGAATCTTTGAGGAGCAAGTTTATTTTAGTGTTCAGTATTTCTGGTTTCACTTATAGGCCTGGAAATCAAAGTCATTAGTTCAGTGTTTAGTCCAAAGGATTAAAAGGGAAAAACATCTTGCTTTTAGAATTACCATAACCTTATAATCTTTTATTAATATTTTCATTTCTATAACTTCAAAAGTAATATGTCTGTACCTCTTTTGTGTAACCCCCCTCAATTAGAATTCATTCATGGTGAAATTAATATGAGATTTAATATTCTCAGTCATGATATATCCATTAGTTTCAATTTTTGAATGTATACTACAAAGAAACAATCACTTATGTTTTAGAGAAGAAAGTTTTTTTAACCTTCCATTTCTATCATTAATTAAACCATTTTTTGTGTGTCTTATAGTGTGTAGATGGACTTTCCCATTGCACTTAATATATACCAAGTTCCTGGTATTATCTGAATCATGGATTTGAATGCTTTGAAATTGAAACAGCCTAAGAGTTGTTGATTATATATATTTTACACTGGATTTCATATTAATAGCTATAAAATTCTCTTTAAACTGGGAAAGTTTATGACTCTCATCTAAAATATCTTTTTTTTTCCTTCTGCCGTTTGCATATTAAGGTACCCTTACTGTTGGAGATCTAGTAATGGTGAATGGACTGCTTTTTCAGCTTTCATTACCCCTTAACTTTCTGGGAACTGTATATAGAGAGACTAGACAAGCACTCATAGATATGAACACCTTGTTTACTCTACTCAAGGTAGACACCCGAATTAAAGTAAGTAATCTATTTAGTACCTTTTCAAAAATATATGAGCATCATCTCATTATTATTGGATTATTCTAGGGGAATACTCTTATCATGTTAGCAAACTAATTTCTCTCTTGCAAGAATTGGGGCTGTCAAGTGTACTAAGAGATTGTTATAGATTTCATTTCTATGTTTAAAAACAATGTTAGGAAAAAATTTTATACCTAGAAACTAAAACTTATTAAATTATTCATACTTATACTGGATTTATATTTGCTAATAATGCTGCAGAATATATGATTGCCTCTCCTCACATCCTTCAGCCCTTTACTTCCCTGCTAACCCTCCCCCACCCCCTGCAAAAGTTGTCCAGCAGCCAAACCATTCATGAATTTTTTTTTAACCTTAGCAGTGAGGAGTAAAAAACACAAATCTTTAAAAGCATGCTTGGAAGTGCTCTAATTCCACTTTCATAAACCTTCTTCCCCATTATTTTCCTTTTATCTCTCTGTTAAAAAAAATATCGGTATAGCTGTACTCTAAGGTAGTATGTAAAGTGTTGTTTTTTTTTTTTTTCCTCTTCCCTGTTAGGACAAAGCGATGGCATCTCCCCTTCAGATCACCCCACAGACAGCTACGGTGGCCTTTGATAATGTGCATTTTGAATATATTGAAGGACAGAAAGTCCTTAGTGGAGTATCTTTTGAAGTCCCTGCAGGAAAGAAAGTGGCCATTGTAGGAGGTAGTGGGTCAGGGTGGGTAATTTAGTTATTTATAAAATTCTTCATTACTGATTGAAAATTCTGAATGTGATTTTATTCTTATCCTAATGAATTGATTACTGTGGTTTAAAATTAGGGTTTCCTGATGCCAATAGAAGCTAAATGACCTCTCCTTGTCTCCAATTTCAGGAAAAGCACAATAGTGAGGCTGTTGTTTCGCTTCTATGAACCTCAAAAAGGTAGCATTTATCTTGCTGGTCAAAATATACAAGATGTAAGCCTGGAAAGCCTTCGGAGGGCAGTGGGAGTAGTACCACAGGTACTTAAAAACAGAAAAATACAATTTTTGGAAGATTTATTGGGTTGATGGTTATGTAAACTATAATAATTTGAATCTGAGGAGTCAGCATATGCTAATTAAGTGGGGAGTGTTAGGCCCTACAGTTCAACTTCTTTTTTAAAAAATTTTATTAGTGCATTAAAGTTACACAAATATTGGGGTTCATTTTGACATCATTATACAAGCATGAAATATAATTTGCTCCAATTTAGTCCCCAGTACCTCCCTTTCCTCCTTCCTTCCCTGTTTCTTTTCTTGTATTCTACCGTTCTTCTATTTATTTATAGTGTTTAAAAATTAGTTCATTATAAATCTACATAAAGCCAAAATTCACCATGGTATATTCAAATGTACATAGGACAGTTTAGTCAGTTTTATTCTACCATCCTCACTTTTCCAATCCCTCCTCTCTTCCCCTCAAACTCGTTCCTCTACTCCACTGATCCCTCTTCTATTTTCATGAAATTTCCTCCATTTTTCCCCTTATTTTGGTCTGGGTTCTGCATTTGAGAGAAAACATTCAAACCTTGATTTTTTGAGTCAGGTTTATTTCACTTAGCATGATAATCTCCAGTTGCAACTACTTACCAGGAATTGCCACAGTTCTTTCTTCTTTATGGCTGAGTAGAACTCCATTTTGTGTGTGTGTGTGTGTGTGTGTGTGTGTGTGTGTGTACCACATTTTCTTTATCCATTCATCTGTTCACCAGTATCTGGGCTGGTCTCATAACTTGGCTATTGTCAGTTGTGCTGCTATAAAGATGGGTTTAGTTGTATCTTATAGTATGCTGATTTTAGGTCTTTGGGATAAATATTGAGGAATGAGATAGGTGGGTCATGTGGTGATTCCATTCTTAGTTGGAATCACCATTCTTAGTTGTGAGGAATCTTCCTACTGCTTTCCAAAGTAGTTGTACTAACCCTCCAACAATGTATGAATGCACCTTTTCCCCCTACATTCTCCACAGTATTTATTTGTGTTCTTGATAATTACCATTCTGACTAGATAAGTTGAAATCTTAGTGTAGTTTGTATTTGCATTTTCCTGATTGCTAGGGATATTGAACATTATTCATATATTTGTTGGCTATTTGTGTTTCTTCTTTGAAGAGATGTCTGTTGAAATATATTGCCCATTTATTGATTGGATTTTTTTGATGTTGAGCTTTTTGAGTTTTTAATTTATTCTGGATAGTAATCCCCCAAGAAGCAGGTGACAAAGATCTTCTGTCATTCTGTAGGATCTTTCTACAGGTGAACTTCTGTTACCAAAAAGAACATTTAACAAAAGCATAGGAAAAAAAAACTTGAATGGGATATCTGCATGATGGAAAATTACTAAGCCCTAGAATGATGGCATAATAGAATGGCACAGAATAAAGTCAAGCTGACCTAGATTCTAATGCCACCTTTAAACCTCATTAGTTCTATAACCCTGAATCTCAGTTTCCTCATCTCTAAAGTAAGGATACCTTTTATCTTACAGGATAGGATTATTGTTACACATTAGAGATAGTATATGTAAAGTACCAAGCACAATATCTATCACAAGATTGTTCAGCAAATGAAAACTATTATTATAATTTTGAACAGCTTTTAATATAATGAATTTATAATTACAGAGCAGTTCAACTGCCAGTTTGCATCATGTCTTGAACACTACTGCCCTTAGTACCAAGCACATTGCCTGACCCATAGTAAGCATTTAATAAATATTTGCTGAGTGACTTTGTGAGAAAATAAATTCAAAATAATACCTGAAAAGACAAAAAAATAGATAAATTTAAAAGGATGTGAGATTTTTCTGATGTTGAAAGCACATAGAGAGACTTGGGGATTAGTTGCAGCTAGCAATTATCATAAAGTTGATTCCTGAAACTGAAATAAAATCCCTGAGAGAACAGATCAAAATATGGAAAAGAGGGAGGGGATAAACTGTAAGAAAGTGATTAGAGTAGGATATGTATCTTGTAAAAAGTCCCCAAGTAATCTAACACAGGACAGTCTTTTCTGTCCTCTCTTTTAATGATAATTCCAGATTTTAAGTGAGTATAAGTCACTTAGGGAGATGATTGAAATTTCACTTCTTCACACACCCTAGTTGTGATTCTAGAGGGCATTTTGGGGCCCAGAAACCTGCATTTTTTAATATGTATCCTATGTGATTCTGATAAATGGTATGTAGACCTGCTGAGAAACACTGTTTGTCAAGTGATCTGGATTCTGGACTAACTATATAGGGCTCAATATTCTCATTCATATAACTAAATTCCTGCCATTCTCTTGGGCTATTTAATGTTTACCCTCATTCTTTTGAGGAATAAAATACTTCATTCACAAAAGAAAAAATATACTGTCAATAAACAAAAGAAAAGTTACTTATTCTAATAAGAGGCTTTATACATGTAAATTAAATGAATAATGTTTTTTTTTTACCTATTAGATTAACAAGGATTTTGAAATTCATAACATTCAGTTTGTATAAACTGCAGAAATATAAGTAGTGGTATAACGGGAACAGTAGGAGGGAGGAGAGAAGAGAAGGGGGAAGTACTGGGGCCTGAATTAGAGAAAATTATATAGATAATAAAATGGTTACTGTAGTGAAGTAACATCTCACATAGTTACTCATTTATTGTATGTGGCAAGAGCAGGTGAAATCTCATTTAGCAAGTCATGAAAAAAAGTCCAATAGTTAATTAATATTTTTTTACCTTTATTTTCTGTTTTCAGATTTTTAGTATTTGTTAACTTTTTCAGAATATAGTACTTTGTATATATACAATTTTGGACTTTTTGGATACCATCCCAATATGAGAACTTTTTTATTGTCAAATAATATTGTTATTATTTGAAATAATATCTGAAATTCTGAGTGTGATTTTGATGTCAAAGAAGATTTTAATTGTATATCCTGGTTCATGTGAACTAATGGCATCATTTTATTTCACCTTAGTAACTATAGCCTTTCACCTATTTGAAGACTGAAAGAAAAATGTGAGATGAATGTTCACTTTAAGTAAATTAGTGTTACTTAATATATTACACATATGTGTAAAAAATTCTTTTTTTCTGCGTTTCAAGTCCAGTGTCAAAGCTTCCTAGAAATATAGAAAAACATATTCAACCTCATTAGTAATTAAGGAAGTGCTCATTTAAACAGCATTCTACCTCTAGAAATAGCAGCAACTTAAAATTAATATGCAAGATTGCTAAAGATATGGGGATTTGACAACCTCATACTCTATTGATTAAAGTATACTCAGATGCACAGTCATATATATAATGATGCTTTATTCCAACATTATAGCCACAGTTATTTATTAATCACATTAATGTCAATCAATAGGAAAATAGATAAATTATGGTATGTCCATTGTCTAAAATATACAATTAGTAAAAAGAATGAAGTAGGCTTCTTTTATTAACTTGTAAAATCTCCAGGATATGTTAAGTGGAAAACCCATTTGAAAAATAATAAGTACAGGATGGCCCCACTTGTTTTGGGGGGAAAACCATATATATTTAGGCTTACAAATGCATTTTTTAAAAATCTGAAATTATATGTAACAAACTGCTCATGGTGATAGTTCTGAAAAGGGAAATGGAATTTTAGAGTTGGGGTGATAAAAGGGGCTGTCATATTTTATTCTTTATGCCTTTATATCTATATAATTGTTCAAATTCTTTTGGAATGAATATAAATATATGTGTGTCTGTATGTAAATCTGCTTCAGGATGCTGTCCTCTTCCATAATACTATTTACTACAACCTTTTATATGGAAACATCAATGCTTCACCTGAGGAAGTATATGCAGTGGCAAAATTAGCTGGACTTCATGATGCAATTCTTCGAATGCCACATGGATATGACACCCAAGTAGGGGAACGAGGACTCAAGCTTTCAGGTGATCAGTGATTTTAGAGCTGCCTCCCACTTGTATACTCCTTTCAAACTTATTTATCAGAACCACTTATATGCTACATCTCTACATTTATTCTTTGTTCTAGTTTAGCTTATGGAGGAAATGTATAGATTAGGGGCAAAGCAAGGCAGAAATAAAGAATCTCTTGCATGAATCTTAGTGAATTCCCATTCCTCTTCATTACAAACCAACTTCATTTAGTAGGTGCATACTATGTGAAAGTTACTATGCTGAATGATTTGAGGGTTAAAAATATGAAAAACAAACAAGCCTGTTGTCATGGAGTTAGCAATCTATTGGAAAGTTTTAATGTAGGTTTAGAAAATTTTAAGAGAAGCTTATTTTCAAGTGAAATTAGATTGTGGTAATTTGGTCATAACTTGGTAGTATAATATGCTTTTATCATTCTAATTCACCTTTATACTTAGCCATTGCTCTTAATCAAGTCGTTTTCAATTAACTAGCCCATCCTCAAGTTATGGGTCCATTTATCAAATTGTAATGATCCCCAATTTACCATGTAATATAGATTAGCCTTCTCAGTACTTGATTTTGCCTCAGCCAGCTATGCCACATTCTGTTTTCTAATATTTTTTGCCCTCTACATGCCTTTGGAGGTAGCAATAGCTAAAGAAAACTTATTCTTACTTATTTTATATTGCCTTAAACCAAACTCCTTAAAATGAGCAATGTATTGCTTAATATCTAGCTAATAATTGGGAATAAACAGGCTTTTCTTCTCCTAGTTTTAAAATACTATTGAATAGAATTAAAACTAAGTTGATTTTCTTGAAATTTGAAAGGCATGTCAAAACTAGTTCTTCTTAGAAACTACTTCTTTGAGGAGCTTTCTGCTACTGAATTGATAGGTGGGCAGGTAGATAATTCTGGTATGGAACCTGCTTTGATAGGAGAATTTTGATCTTATGAAATAGGGATAGCATGAATATAAACTTAACCAATATTAGACATAAGGATATCAAATATAATAATCATTGAAAAAGTAAAAAATAAAATAATACTTAATGGACCAGATAATCGACCAGGAGAGTTTGTTCCTAATGTTACTAAAGTGGAAAAATGCAAGTATTTTTCAGACTGATAATTTAATATGTAATGGAAAAGAAAAGCCAAAAGGGGACATATCAATAAAGCTCTATGTTTTCTACTTCCAACTGTATTTTTTAAAAATATATATATGTATACATATTTTTAGTTGAAGTTGGACACAATACCTTTATTTTATTTATTTTTATATGGTCCTGAGGATCGAACCTAGCACCTCGCACATGCTAGATGAGTGCTCTACCACTGAGCCACAACCCCAGCCGCCCCCAACTGTATTTTTATATAACAGTAATGACTTTAGACCTAGAGGAATCCCAGTGATCGAAGAAAGGTTTTTTTTTAATATTTCACTAAATATGTTCACTACTTAAGACAAATATTTTCTAAATATTTATTTCTGTGAATAAATGTGGGCTTCTATATTGTGATAAGAGGAATATTGGACTGGGAATCAAATCAGGTCTAGTCTAGATTCGCTAAAACTTGCTTTGTGACCTTGAACAAATCACATAATCTTTTGGGCTTTTGTTTCCTTTTAGTTTTAAAAAATATGTTATGCTAGATACCTATAACTAATAACTAAGTGGAAATAAGAGATATATAGTATATACCCTTAATTTTGAAGAATAAATAGTATTCTATCAAAAACATCCTTGAGAATACTGGCTGAATGGAACTTGTTTATGTCAAGGCATCAATTTATATTCATAGTTTCATGTTTTCAAGTTTTCAGGTTTTTTTGAGGGGGCAGTGTACTGGGGATTGAACTCAGGGGCACTTGACCAGTGAGCCACATCCCCATCCCTATGTTATATTTTATTTAGAGACAGGGTCTCACTGAGTTGCTTAGTGCCTCGCTGTGGCTGAGGCTGGCTTTGAACTTACAATTCTCCTGCCTCAGCCTCCCGAGCCACTGGGATCAGGTGTGCACCACCATGCCTGACTAAGTTTTCAGATCCAATTTGTGTTTGGCTTTGTTGGTTCTCTAATATTGAATTTTTTTCTTTCTGAGATTGGTATTCATTGAGAAGTATTTATATTATAAACAACATATAATGAGCATGTTTTTGGTGAGAAGAACAATTACAGAATTCAAGTTGTTAGGCTCCCTACTCATTCTTGCTCTTATGCCTGCTACATAGTCAAATTTCAGTATTTATGTTCAAGGAAATATAGTTTGGTAAAGGATATCATACATATTATATCATACACAATAAGATGAAAAATAATCAGGAGCATAGTTGAATATTGATGATATTATTTGATGGTCATAACCAATAGGAATACTAGCAACATAAAATATTTCTGTGCTTTCTTAAATTAAAATTTTTCTTCATCAGGAGGAGAAAAGCAAAGAGTAGCAATTGCAAGAGCCATTTTGAAGGACCCCCCAATCATTGTCTATGATGAAGCCACTTCATCATTAGATTCAATTACTGAAGAGGTAAATGATAATGAAAATATATAGCTCTTTAATGTTTAACATTTTTCCTTATAAGTTTTAACAGGATGACTGCATTTCTTTGTAGTTTAAATGATCTTCAAGTGGAGGTACCATAAAGCAAAATGCCTAGCCCTTTCCCCCATGTAGGAGGTGTTGATGGTTAGAATGCCATTTCACATCAAACTAGCTATCACATTAAGTTTATTTGCAAACATGTCTCATTTTGGAATTATGTGACACCTTATAATGATGTTGTATTACCCTTGCACCTTGCAAAGTTGTACAAATTGCCTAATGTGCTGAACAGAAGAGGATTTTTGTTTCTCTCCTACTGCCACTTAGTACTTACTAATGTAAGTCATGTAAGTGATTGTGACACTTGTGATACAGTGCTCACCAGAAAGCCTTTCAATTCTTATAGATCAACTCATTGAGGTGCAAGTCAGGTACACACAACCTTCAGCACTGGTATCAATTTATACTCATTTCACAGGAAATATTTTAAACACCAAGATATTGTGGCACTGATGTTACGATACTACCCCAGCAACTACATTACACTTTGTAAAATCTTTATATTCACACTTAAGTCTCAACAGCAATGATAATTTCATTAACAAATCCCCTTAATCTAGAACTGAAGATAGGCAGATTTTGTCAGTTGCCTCCATCAACAGTGGTTGATGCAGATGAAATCATTATCATCTACCTTCTAATTTAGTACTTAGTATTAACCTAGTGTTGAAGGATAGCTCTACTTTCAGATTTATAGGCTGTATGATGCAATATTTGCTTAGGGAGTTACATTTTAGGACACATTATTAAATAAGCAGCATGTTTAAAGCAATTTAATTCTGAAGTGAACTGGTTAGCATGGGGATTTATATTTTTGTTGTTGTTCTTGTTGTTTTTTGTCTATATAGTGCTAGTGATTGAACCCAGGGCTTCACATACGTTAGGCAAGTACTGTACCACACAGCTACATCCCTGGCCCTTTTAACTTTAAGACAGAGTTCCACTAAATTGCCTAAGATGACCTCAAACTTGTGATCCCTTCTGCCTCACCTCCAAAATAGATGGGACTACAGTTATGCACTACTGCACCCAGCTGATTTGTTATATTTAAAGTGAACCTTAACTTGGACCAAATCCCATTTATTTGAGTAGGAACCTGCTTATGAGAACTTTACACTGAAAAATGGGTCATACTACCACAAATTAAAAGTGTCTTTATGGGAATCACTTAGTTTTATTATGTCATAGAATATAACCCTTTAAGAGTTTACAGAGAACCCCCCGCAAAGGGAAAGAGTTACCAGAAGATTGGGAAATTTGAATAAGCCTTTATAAAAGGTCCAGAGCACTCTATAGGATGTCAGAGTTTAAATTCTTAAGGATAAAAATTGCAGTTTTTCTTAGTATTGGCCCTGTACTTGATTTTTGGTCTGCCTTAGTAAAATACGGGTCTTCTTTTTTGTGTAGCCACCTGCTGTCAATAATTTTATACCTTTAATAAAGAAAATGTTTAGAAGTAGCTGTAGGAAACCAGTGGCACATCCCCACCAGCTACACTGCTATTTCCATCTGGCCAGCTGTACTTAGACCCAGGTTTCCAATTTTACAGTCAACAAACAAAAATGTATTTTTCAGACTGCATTAAGATTTCCTCAAGTTAAAAATACACGGATGTCTTTATCTCCCCTTCTGTCCTCTGAGTTTCAACTAAGGAAGAACCTAATATTCCTGTACTCTTCAAGTCTCCCTGTCTTTCCCTGGTTGATTTAAAATTTTGATGTGTCCTATCATTTGAGAGCCTCCTCATTTTAGTTTTGTTCTTGTTGACAAACATATTTGGCAATGCTCCTGATGTCACTGGAGTTGCTGATTGTTTGTTTAGTTTTTAAGTAAAGGAAATATCTACCTTTCCCCAGACTTTGTGTTTTACAGAAATGTCACCTATCTTAATAATTTTTCCCATTACTATGTAGTTGTATTTACTTTTCCTTTCTGCTTGATTTTCTCTTCCTCTTTTAAAATTAGAGATCAGTTATTTGGTTCTGGTATAAAACTTGCATCATAAAATATTAATTGACATTTTATATGTTCCATTAAGAGATATATGATTATTTTCATTTACAGTTACCTAATGGGTTGATTTTTTTCCATCTGACTCTTCTTGTCAAACTTGCAGACTATTCTTGGTGCCATGAGGGATGTGGTCAGACATAGAACTTCTGTTTTCATTGCACATAGATTGTCAACAGTGGTTGATGCAGATGAAATCATTGTTTTGGACCAGGTAAGAGATTAAATGTTAGTATTCAAAGAGCATTGGGGATTGTTATTGATACAAGAAACAAATATTGTTTCTAATAATATATAGAGAGTTTATGTTCTTTGGATGAGATTGAATACCCATGGGGTTCTGATTTTAGCCTTTTTTGTAGGAAAGAATGCATGTCATTTCCAAGAAGGAGTAAACTCTATTAACTCTCTCTTTGTTAAAGCACTAAAAGCAAAAATTTGATAAAGAAAGCATTAAATCTTCAGATAGAAGCAGGTTTTCAAGGGTGTATATGTAAAAGAATTTTTCTTTTTTTTTAAACATCCCATTTTCTTTTTTTAAAAAACCATTGTTTTTTAAAAAAATATCTTTATTTTATTTTATTTTATTTTTATGTGGTGTTGAGGATCGAACCGAGCACCCCGCGCATGCCAGGCGAGCACACTACTGCTTGAGCCACATCCCCAGCCCCATAAATGAATTTTTCTACATTAGTTTTTGCTCCGAGTAGAAGCTTTGCTCTATGCCTTTGCTATGATATGTATTTTAATTTTTCTAGCACAGCTCGTACCCTTGATGTCTAAAAGATAATAAAGTAAACTGGTGATTTTTCAAACATGATCATTTTTATTTTGTTTTTTCTTATGGAGAAGATAAGAAAATAGGCAGCTTTATCTCCTTTGAAGGAATTACTTACTATACAAGTGTCCTGAACAAATCAGAGTATCACTAGTGTGATTGATAAATTTTAAAATTTGTAATATTTTCTTTTTCTCCTTTCTGTAAAGACCTCTTCTCCCCAACTCTTAGTACTTGATTATGTCTAACATTGTTCAGTTTTCCATATCATATTCAGCCTTTTCTATGATTATTTTCCCTTCTAGTAACTTCTAGGAAATTAAAATTTTGAAAGCCTATTCACTGAGAGTTAACAGAGAAAAAAAGTATTATGTGCTTTCTGCATATTGAGTTATTGGAAGGTAATTTTTCAGTCCCCTAAAACTTTTTATATGGTGCTCAGTGCTGTGGTGTATATACTATTTATTTTCTATGTGAATTTTATACTTGTGACTTTAGGCCTTTCTGTTACTTAGTTTATAAATGTTTATATTCATTAGAAAATAAACTGATTTTTCTAGTATTATTATACCAGAATGTCTTAAATGGAAAATATTTAAATATACCATCTCATATCATTGGCATTCAAGAATCTGAAATATAATCTGGTGATTTTTTTAAACTGGGGAATGATATTGACCAAATTATTTTTTGAAATCTGGGTTTTGTGCTTATTAGTAAGCTTTCCAATTATAGGCGGTCATATAGTTAGAGCCTCCCCTTACAAATAGAAAATGATCAAGTACTTTAACAGTCATGGACTTGGTCTATCTCATGCCATGAGGATTACAGTGTGTATTCATTTATATCATAATGTTGCCAGTGGTTTTTAGATTATAATTGGAACTAATTTATTAATGAACATAGCACCTAGATCTAAAATCTCCTTATGTTGATAATTTGATGGTTCTACAGTTGCTTGATTATAAAGATAACAGATTTTCATTTTCTAGTGAAACTAATGTGACCTTTATTTCAGTTGGTTGTTGGTCAACTCATGTGTTCTGTCAGTAGTCTCTTAGAATATGTGTGTTAAGATGGCATATCTAAGGGATATTTAGTTAAACATAGAAGATTAGACATATTTGTTTATCTCTTCTCTCTCCAATCATACTAAAACAAACATAAAGGAGTAAAATAAGTATAAACCCACAAGCACTAATATACTAAGAGAGGAAATTATAGTGAACAAAAGACATCAGCAAATGTGGGGAAGATGTTAAGTAGATAGAGAGATTAGCACAGTTGATATATTTGAATATTATGTGCCAAAATGGAGAGGAAATCAATAAAAAGCAACTTGGTAAATGTTGTAGACCCCTGAAAACATTCAGTAATTGGAGCCACCCAGGTATTGTGCAAAGGCATAAGATTGATATAACAAAATTAAATGTATATAGAATAAATAGTGTTTCCAGGGCGCTTCCTCACCCCACCCCGCAGCCTGGTGTTTAATCCTTCCCAACCTAAGCAAGGAGCAGGAAAGTTTCTTATCAGGACATCTCTAGACACAAGAAAACCACCAAATACATTAGCAATGAAGGTAAAATTAACTGGAAATTAAAACATACCAAAGGATCAAACCATATCCCTCATATCACTTGCTCCAGGAATTTTGCCACAGTTGTTTATTTCTGCCATCACTGTTCCTTTCCTCATCAGCAGATAATTGGAGTATTCTGAATAAACAAAGGTAGCCCCAGAAATAAAAGATGTACATTTGGGGACCCCAACAAAATGGGCTAGTTGCCCATCCTGATCAGCTCTTAATGCTCTATTATTAAATATCAGTGGATAATAAAGGAAGACCTCTAAAACAAACAGAAAAAAGGAACACAGTAGAAAATGTAAACAGCACAGAGAGTGTAAGAAACTTTAAAATATAATATCTCTAGAGGTCATGGAAAATATAGCATTTCTAAAATAAGAGCAAATGCTGTTAAGAAAAGTAAAGGAAACTTATGTGGCATGATTTCTAAGGTAGATTGTTAAAAGGGAAAAAAAGTAGGCTTCAAAAGAGTACATAGTATATAGTATGACACCTTTTGCAAGGAGGATGAAGTAAAAAGAATATATGTATATGTGCTTATATTTGGAAAAAGAAACTCAGAAGGAAGCAATTGGCTACATACAGGATGGGAACGGAAAAGGGTGATAACAGATAGGGAAGAGAATGTGACTTTCCTGAGTATACTTTTTTATATTGGTTTTACTTTTGAACCATATTGGTATTTTTGTTTATTCAAAAATAAAATTAAATCAACAAGGATGGGGGGAAATTGAATATAAGCAGAAAGCAGCAAAACTACGTATAAAATTGATAACCACATAGAATACAAATAGAATTAGGGCTAGGATTGTGGCTCAGTGGTAGAGTGCTTGCCTAGCACATGTGAGGCACTGAGTTGGATCCTCAACACCACATAAGAAAGAAAAGAAAGATAAATACTGTGTCATGTACACTAAAGTATTTTAAAAATAGAATTAATCCAAATGACTTTACAGCATATTACTCCAATTAAATATACTCTCAGTGGAGTATATTATAAGTATAAAAAGAACTAAAGAAAATTTATTCTTTATTAAATTTGTTGTTGGTTAGTATTATGAGGATAGGAGCCATTTGGAAACTATTTTTTATCTGAGACTGAGCATATGAGTATATGTGTTGATGGTGTTAGGAATAGATATCTCACTTTGAAGAATAAAGATACAAATATGCAATGGTCAAAAAAAGGAAGACTCTCATAATGTTATATTGGAGTGGAATTATCAGTGTGAATTTATGATATTTAAACAATATTCAGATTTTTTGTGGAAAAGGCCTAGAAGCAATGAAAACCTAGTAGCGATGAGTGTTACTGGCACACAGATTTTGGCCACTTAATACTGCATCTCATTAAAAGGAACCAAGATTCCTTGGAGAAATAGTTGATTACAAGTGGGGGTAGGGAAATTAGTGAAAACACAAGGACACAGGAACCATTTTGAATGGGCCAAATTTGGGATAATTAGAGCATAAAAAAGAATAATGACACTAATGAATTGTAACACACTGAGTAGAAAACTAATCCCTGAATCCGTAATAATACTTCTAAAACAAAAAGTGCCAAGGGGAAAGGGAAAGCTGTTCTTTAAGAATGTCAGCTAACACATGTAAAAGAAATGATAAATGTAGAAAATTTTACAACTACCATTGTAATAATTGATTCACTTAAGGATCATCACTGGTTGCTGAAACATGATGAGAAGCTATTGGGGAACAGAATATTCACAGATTTTGAACATATAACCTATATATAACTTATTAGTTACAAAGAGAAAAAGTACCTTTAAAGAGAGAAATCTCACCAGACTCTGTGGCACACACCTGTAATCCCAGACATTTGAAAGGCTGAATAAAGCAAGGAGGATTGCAAGTTTGAGGCCAGCCTAGGAAGCTTAGTAAGAAGACCTTATCTGGAAATTTTAAAAATTAAAAATAACAAGGGCTAGGGATGTAATTCAGTGGTAGAGCACCCCTGGGTTTAATCCTTGGTGTACTGCAAAAAAAGACTTTTTAAAATAAAATATTAAAAAGAGCCAGGGGTATGGCTTATTGATAAAGCATCTTGGGACTTCAGTTACCAAGTAGTACAATGAGAGAGGGAAATCTGGTAGACATCCTTAATCAAGTGATCAAATTTAATATCAATAATGGAAAAATTGACCTCATATACCTCCTGATGTGATGCACTGAAGGTACATCATCACATATTTCTTACAAAAATGTTTAGCTTGGATCTTTATTTTTTAGCTTAGATATAATAATTAAGAACAACTAGATAGCACAAACTGAAAGGCATTGAAGAAAAAGCAGGACTAAACATTTTAAATATGCCAGTGACTGTTCTCTCTCCCCCCCACACACACACACTCACACACACACACACACACGGAAGCTGTTATGAAGTCAATGTGTTGATCCTGATTTGTTCTTAGAAAAAAAATAAACATTTTTGGGAGAAATTGATGAAGTTTGAATATGAATTTTATATTAGAGTATCATATCATTGCTGAATTTCCTAGGTATGATACAATTATATTCCCATCAGTAAGTAAAATGTCCTTATTTTTAGGAGATACATGCTAATGAAATATTTAGGGGTAAATTATAATGATGTCTACAACTCATTCTCAATTTGGTTTGACAAAAAAATATATATATATATATTTAGAAAGTGTGTAAAGTGAGCTATGTGGTAGTACACACCTATAATCCCAGGAATTTAGCAAGGCCCTAAGCAACTGTGAGACCTGTCTCAAAATAGAAAATAAAAAGGACTGGGGATTTGACTCAGTGATTAAGCACCCTGGTACCAAAATAAATAAATAAAAACTTGTAATGTGACATAAAGCAAATGTTGAAATAACAGTTGTTAAACTAGGAGAAGCATATATAAATATTCATTGTATAACTTGCAACATTTAAAAAATTTAAAAATAGAGATGGTAAGTAAGTAAATAAATAAATAGATAGATAGATAGATACCCAGAGAACAAGAGCTTTTGGAAATGAGAAATATCATTGTTGAAATAATGCCAAGGATAATTATGAATGTAATATACTCCACTATTGTCATGTAAGAAATAAATAAATAATGCCAAGGAAATATCCAAAGGATAGAGCAAAAATAGTGAAAATAAAAGTGAGAAAAGAAAGAATTAGTCAAAGAGGCCCAACATCTGACTAATGGTAGTTTTTTAAAAACATTTTGTATCAAGATATAGCATTTCTTCTCCATAATTAAAATTAAAAAGATATAAAAATTAGTATCCAAAAATTAAATAAGAGGCTTTTTGTATATACTATGTTTATATGCCATATTAAATTAAGGAGAAAATTTTAAAAAATCTAGCATCTCCAAAACATACTTTTTAAAAATGTAGTTAAAGGAAACCATTTTAATATATCACTATATTTCTTTCCCAATGAATGTTTTATGTGTATATTCATATACATGTTTTCCCATATTCTTTTTTATTGGTTCTTTTTAGTTATATATGACAGTAGACTCTATTTTGATATAATTATATAAACATGGAATATATCTTATTCTAATTAGGACCCCATTCTATAATGGTGGATTCACTGTGGTGTGTTCATATATGTACATAGGAAAATTAGGTCAGATTTAATCCACTGACTAGTGATAGTTCTAAAATGAGAGAATAAGAAAATTATCAAAGAAATAATACTCAAAGAATGTCCAGAAGTTCAGAGCAAGAGTTTCCAGATTGAAAGTGCCTACCAAGCATCCACTACAATGAATGAGAAGCAAAGAAAAACCCATACCATGGTGCTTTATAAAACTCCAGAATTGAGGCTACAGAAAATAATCTAAAAGCTCTGAGTGGTAGAAGAAATTGAACTAATACATTGCCTCATATAGTTGATTATGAGGAAAATAGTGATCAAAAGGGTTTTATAATTCAATAACAAACTTTGGAGAGATTTCCAATAGTTACCAAAAATTAAGCAAATGGAAAAATAAAGCAGTCACCAAGTCTAGGAAGAAAAAAAACATGCAAAAATACCTACTTGGTGCAACAGGAGATATTTACATAGTCATAATAAAGTAAGCACTAAACTAAAATTTGAAATATTGCTGATGTTATTTGAAGAGTGAAAAATGGGACATTGGGAATGTGGGAAAATATAAGAGTGATGAATCTCCATCTTCCACAACACTCACACTCTCTCTCTCCCTCCCTCCCTCTCTCTCTCTCTCTCTCTCTCTCTCACACACACACACACACACACACACACACACGCACACGGACGTACGTAAATACAGAACTCAGACTTGAGCACAGACAAATTTTAGTTATTTTGCTTAGGGGTGTATTTGTAAAGGTCCTATTACCAGGAGTACCAGTAAAAGTGACAAAGTTCCTTTTGTCTCCCAAAACGTTTAACAGACAAATTAATTGAAGATCAGAGTTTGGAATCTATATCAAATATATGCAATGCTAAGTTTAATAGCCATTGTTAACAAAAAAAATAGCCACTGGAAAAAGTAAAACTTTATTTTTATGAAATTTTTTCTATTACATGAAATCTTTATTTCAAGTTACACATAAGGCTTTTAGAATATTAATTTTAGATCCTTGTATAAATAACAGTGGTTTGGGTTTGAATATTTACTGATTATAGAAAATATTACCTTCTTAAATTTTTAGACTTCCCTTTCTGCCCTGAAAAATAAAACATTAAACACTTATAGTATTGGGAGTTTCATGATGTATTGTTTATTCACTGGAACTGATAGGTCAACACTGAAGATAGCATTTTTACCTCAATTTCTCCTACTTATTCTATAAATGAGGAAGTAGGAGAAGTATTCTAATGAATGCAAGTCCTTCAAATCTTTCATTACAAATTATCATATACTTTTAGGGTTTTTTTTGCTAGTTTGATGACCTTTTTCTGTGTTTCTCTTGTGTTTGCTTATTAGGGAAAGGTAGCTGAACGTGGTACCCATTATGGCTTGCTTGCTAACTCTGGCAGTATTTACTCAGAAATGTGGCATACTCAGAGCAGCCGTGTGCAGAACCATGATAACCTCAAATGGGGTGCAAAGAAAGAAAACATGTCCAAAGAGGAGGAAAGGAAGAAACTACAAGAAGAAATTGTCAACAGTGTCAAAGGCTGTGGAAACTGTTCCTGCTAAGTCACATGAGACTTTTTCTTTTCTTTCATTTTGTTTTGCTTTGTTTTGGACTACCCTTCAAGTACAATTCTGCCCTGAAAGCAGAAATGTTTAAATTAAAACAAAAGTCATACATTCCCATTTTCTATAATTATTCTTTTAGATAAGATTTGTTGAAAGGGGGATTTGAGTTACATCTTTCCCAGTCTATTTTGTGCTATCTGTATTTAACCATGAATTATTTTCTTGTTACTGCCCTGGTTATAGTCATCACACAATTTTTGTACTTTGGCTTTACCCCATTACCCTTTTGAGACCCAGTATGCATTTAACATCCATAACCAGATGAATCGGATAAGTTTCCAAACTTTTGTAGTTTTTCAAGGCTCCTTTATGCTGACAATTTGACAAAAGACAACTTAGTGTCTTTTTCTCAAAATTAAACAGACTATAATATGAATTTATTGTTCTTCCTCATTTTCCCTCCAATTAAAATACTTCATTAATGTGAAAATTGGATCTTAAACATAAAGTAAGAGCTTTTCAGAAATAGACATGCATTTATGGTTTAAATGTCTTACCTGATAGATAACTATACTTAACTGTTTTAAGTATTTCCAGCTATGTACTTTTTGGAAGAAAACCTTAATATACATGCATATACATGACCTTTGGTATGTAGGAAAGGATTCCTATAAATGCATGTGTGCGCACATGATGACAAATATTCATTAGATGACCATCATTCTTATCTATGTTGACATTTCAGAATTACTTTATCATAGGTATTATTTTACTTTTTTAGTAATTTAATGAGTTCCTTTAAGTCTGACATGACAGTTAACCCAAACACTAAATCAGTTTTTAACTGGGGGTAGGGGGAACATGTTTTTCTTACTAGAAATAATTATTAAAATAATTATATGTTTCACATAGAAAGTTCCTCTCTTAAGCTGGGCATGGTGGTACACACCTATAGTACTAGCTACTTGGGAAGCTGAGGTAGTAAGATTACTTGTGCCCAGAAGTTCAAGGTCAGCCTAGACAACATAGCAAGACCCTATCTCTTACAATTAATAAAGAAAAGAAAGTTCTCTCTTCTTCAGTATGAATTTGCTTTAATTTGTTTGATAGCAATTATTCAGTTTGAAAAACTGTTTCTCATGAATGGCTACATAACCATGTATAATAAGGTTTTATTTCTCAGGAAAGTACTTATTTTATTGGTTTATAGTTCTGATGTGTTTTAAGTGATAATTTAGTATGAGAGTGATTATTATTTCTTCTTTTATACTGTGGATACTATGGATAAATGTAAACTTATCTACTTTAGGCTATTTGATAAGGAACCTGAGGCCAGTATTTCATAGTCAGTTTTTGATACCAGAGTAAGTGATGCAGGATCTTGGGTTTTAAAGTTGAAATGAACACTGAGTTGTGTAATCAGTAGATTGGCTTTCTGTGGGTTTTTTTTTTTTTTTTTTTTGTGGACATTTTTTTACTCTGAAGCCAAATAGCAATAGCTATACTGAAAGTAAAAGAAGCCCTTCCTTTGAATAAATCAGCTACATTACTGGAAATGTGGTTTAAAAATCTAGAGAGAAATTTTTCATCTCTGTTAATTCTTTCTATACATTTCCAGTGATGCTGGTGGAAAAGATTTAGCGTAGTTGCATAAACAAGCAGGTAAGATTGAAGTAATCATTAGTAATAATTCCTTTCGAAGTGTGAATAGCAGTGTCCAGAGCAAATTATTTTGTGATATGGGGATGATTTAGTCCAAGAGGGTAGGAATATTTTCAGAGTGGAGATAATTTCCCCACTAAAAGATTGCTAAGCTATTTTCTTTTCATATGATTGCAGGTGGTCCCTAGGCCACTGTGGTCATTAACCAGTATTTTCAGTTAATAAAAACTTAAATTACCTGGAAAACACAATTATTATAGAGGCCATAACTAAATCTTAAAGACATTTCTCTTAAAACCACATTATATTAAGGTTGTTCTATACAGGGAAATAATAGACAGATTAAGATGAAAGAAAAGCTTCCTAGGATGATTCACTCAGAAAATACCAAGAAAAAGGGTATTTAATTATAATGTACTAATTTTACATTGCAATATTACATACTTACACAAAAGGATAATGTGGATAAATTTTTAAATCAGCATTGCAACAATGCTTTTTTAATGTGTTGGGATGAATAAGCTGCAGTTTTGAAGTTTGAGCTCTAAAAAAGGAATAAGGTGATAGCGTTTTATTTCTTATATCCCTTTATTTTAAAGACTGAAAATTTTACATTCTGAGGGAATCCCAATTTACAGAAATTAACTTGAAACCAAGGTAATTTGGGATCATAAAAACTGGGCCAGATGCTTTACTGAAGGTTCTTAACATGGAAATATCTTGGTGAGCATATGGACTCATTTGGAAGTTTTTTGAACAGCTCAAGTGTAAGGGTCATTTGTCAGAATCAGAAAGAGGCCTTAGCTTTTGGACATGAACAAGCCCAAGATATGCGTTTACTGTTCTTCTGCAGGGATTTGCACCTTTTCTATACCTTAAGATGAATACTTTGTGTTTCCCTTCGATGTTGATAAAACTTGGTTTGTGAAGATGGCTATTGTAAGAATATGTTTTGCTTTAAAGGCAAGATACTTAAAGATTGTATGATTCCCTATTTCTAGATCACTTTGTCCATACTGCCATCTTGCTCCTCTCCTTCTTGCTGAATATGTCAGCACTTTTGTCAATATGTATTCATATTTCTCTTACCTTGCAGCTTTATTACAGACTATTTTGTTGTGAACTAGTAATTGAAAGCATTTAAATGTATTTGCAGTTGCAGTTTTCTTAAATTATAGAAAGTTCCTTCTTTGAGTATATAGATTCTGAATGTAAAATGTATAATACATCACAATATTAAATCAAATAAGCTGGTTAAAACTGGTTAAGACAAAACAACTCAACCAAGGAAACCCTTACCACAGTTTTATTGTTTATATCAACATGTGTAGAAAATCATTACTAAATAAACATTGTCTTTGTGACTAGAAATGGGTGATTGAAGCAACTCTTTTCTGCAATAACTAGGGAAAATTGATATTTTGTCATTTACACACTCAAAATAAATACAGATAATTAATAGATACTCTGTGAGTATGGCCTTATAGCCTTATGCAGAAAGTGAAAATTTGGCATTGTTTCAGAGAGAAAGTAATTGTTTGCAGAGCTCATAATGGGGGTAAAATGGTAGCAAATTATAGTGATTTCATTAAGCATTAAGCTGTCATATTTTTGATGACTAATCAGTGAAAGGCCCCTGCTTTCTCAGTTGCCTCCAGTTTATCAATTCTGATGATTAGGAAGGAAACCTTTGGGTGGAGAAATGTGTTGTCTGCAAACTGTGCATTAAACCAGCATTTTGATTAGCAAGGTAGAGTTGGAAATGAAGTATGTGTTCGAATTTAAAACAGATTAGAACGTTTTTGGTTAAAAACTAGTGTATTGTTTCAGTATTTCCTGTTCTCACACAGCTACAGTGGAATGTTTACCAATGATGACTTATTCCACTTCTACTTCATAAAATCATAGGATTTTAGACTTGGAAGAAATTAAAGGGTCATTTAATTCAGGGCTCTCGTTCTACACATGAGGAACTTGAACTTCAAGAGGAGACACTGAGCTTGCTAGAGGCCAAGTTTGGATAAAAGCCTTGATTCCTGATACCCAGTTTGTTCCTTCTTATGCTGTATCACCTTTCTACTCACAAGTTTTATTAAAGAATAATCGAAGGGCAGGATTTCCAGAGTGAAGTAAAGAGCTCAGTAGGCACTCAACAAAGCAACAATTTAACTGACAAAAAATTATTTTAGAAAAAGCAGTCATTTAAAAGCTTCTAAAAATTGTCCTCAGGGCATACAAGAAGTGCCCTTAGATATTCATTCATTCAACACAATCCATTAAGAACAACTTGAGGACTGATCTGCTCCATGTCCTCCATGTCACTAGGCCCGTGTTACCTGAGTACATTGCTTTGGAAACTCTACCTCAATTCTGAGCAGGTAAAGATATAAAAATAATAGAGTGAATATTACTCCCTCTTCCCCCAGCTCCCAGTCTAAGGCTACATTTTTACCCTGGCAGGGGTATCTGCCACGCTGTCCCTTCCTCCTTAGGTTGTACCTTAGTCTGTTTCTTGTTGCTATAACAAAATACATGAGACTGAGTATAAAGAATAGAAGTTTATTTGGCTTACCATCATCTGGTAAACACCTGTTGGCTACATAACATTTTGGAGGGCATCATATGAGGAGACAGAACAAGCATGTTAGCTCAGTTCTCTTTTCCTCATCTTATAAAGTCACTGATACCGTCATGGGAGCCCCACTCTCATGATTTCATCTCCATTTACCTCCTAGTCTCTAAATACCATTTAACATATGAGTTTGGGATTGCATTTCTAACATATAGTCTTGGAAGGCACATTCAAACCATAGCAGAGTGGAATCTCTATTCCATGCACAGGCTGACAGTAATGAGGTCTTAATTTTTTTCTTCCCCAGCTTGCTCATAGGTTGGAGGTTTCATTCAAAAAGAGGGAACTGGTAAATACTAGCTACTTCCATCCCACATCATTGACCCATAGTACAGTAGTTGTTTCACTCCAGAAAAAGTTGGTCTTGACTTCAGCTGCTATTCAGTGGTGCAGAGACTCCACCCAAGAGGAAAAGCATGAGGTGAGGGCACAAAACTCCTTGGCTCTGCCTGGGAGAACTGACTTCATTTGGAACAGAGCATGGAGAACTCTTATCTCTTAAGGGCATTGTTAAAATCAATGGGGATCTTGGTTAAAAGCAATAGGAGTAGCTAGTACAAACAAAATGCAGAGCAGGCAAAAGTTTAATAGAAATTTAAAAGGGGACCAAAAAAAAGCCCTCATGGAGCAGTTAACTGTAGGGATTGAAAAGCCTATGTGTATGTGCTGGGCTGTATCCACTCAGGATAATCAGAGCATAATGTGGGACAGACTTGAAAGAATTTCCCCATACATGCAGACCCGTTGACATGGCAGAAGTTTCATTGGCAAAAGGAGCTTAAGCACAACTTTGACCAAACACTGAGTGAACAATTAAGTTATGGTTACCTGAAGGTGACTTCTAGGAACTTAAAAATAAAATTGCATGCATCTTTGTCAATCTGGAATACTTACTTTCTAATGTTGTTCTCTCTCTCAGAACAAATCAGTGAAGGAAACCCTAAGCTACCAGTCCCTGGTAAACATGAGTCAAAAGTAAACTCCTTGAACTATTGATTTTACCCTCTAAGTACATAGACATCCAATGATAGAAGGTAAGACTCTTACTGGCCATAAGTGCCTATACCAACCCAGTGACAACCCCTAGATAGATGAACTAAAAAGACAAAGATAACATCACACTACATAGTACCAAGGAAATA